AGGGGAGGGGAGGGGAGGGGAGTGGTGGTGACTTAAGTACACAGTTCTGTATTTTATCCCACCGGGACCTGCACAGACAAACATGATACATGGCAGGGTTCAGAGAGCGCATATCACCAGATTAATTGCACCATATTTCATCTATTAGAAACACACTAATTAAATACGCATAATGATGAAACATTTACCATACGATGATGAATTGAAAACTATCATGGCTGTGATATCCACGCTAGTGACATCATCTGTATATATTAATATTAAGTACATGTGCTTGTAATAGTGGAAATATGGTACATATCATTATACACTACATTGTACAAGTGATGTATTGATTAAGGCATGTACATGCACATCAAGGAATTTTGAAAGGTCCAAATGGACAGTATCAGTCTCAGGTAGTGTCACATCACTGTTGCAGAGAGCAGTACCCCCCCCCCCCTCAACAGATGCCGTAGATAAAAATAAGTATATGATTTTTGAAGGTAAGAAAACACAAGTAATCTTGTGAAAGAAAAACATTTTAACAGAATCTGAGAGATTTTTTAAAAGTAAAAAAAAAAAACACAGATTTTTTTTTGAATGAAAACATTTAACATGGAAAGTAGATATATTAAAGAATTTCAAATTTAACAAATAAAAAAATATTTCAATAGGAATATGCTGCTACTAAGTTCATTTTTTTTAAAATTTAGACTAAAATGGAAAAAATATCCCTCATATGATTGATTGTATACGCGTTGTGACAAAATTCACGTAATCAATCGAACAGAGGCTGAGAATAATGTAAACAAAGACCTAGAAATGTACATGGCTTTTGAAATACACATGGCATGCACACGCTGTGCTTGGCAGATCGCCTCAGGCGCAAGCATCGCCGGCGCATCGCGTCTATAATTTGCATTTCATCACAGTACTGGCACCAAACGCGTCAGTATCAAATTCAAACTACGCGATTCGGCGCGCCACAACAAAAACAAAACTTCTTACACTTCGCTTAGCACTATAGAGGCATTAAAAATGCGCGCGATTTATGAAGAAACGCTTTCAGGCAGAAACGCTTGTTAATTTCTAACGAGATTTACTAGATCGTGTTATTCACACATTGAAATGGACATAAAACTTTCCCTAACACTTCCTGTTTGACGAACTCGAAGCTGGGAAAAAAATGTTGTGGTATGCGATCGTATTTGCCGCAACAAGCTCATTGGTGGTTTCGAGTATCAATCTAATAATATAGTACTTACTGTCTTCGGTACACTTGTCGTATGCACAGTATTTGTTACGAGGCGGACTGTGATTTCCTTCTTGTTTTATTTCGTTGTCACTTCGATCGGCAAACATCTCTACGCTAGCCGCCATCTTGGAGGACGTCACGGCCACACCCTTCTCATCCGGGAACTTCGTTGCCAATTCTAGGGTTCGCTTGAGGTCAAAACGTGTTTATTTTCAAAACAAAAAAAAACGCCCACAATAATGTTATGCCTTAACAACATGTACAAAAATCATGAAACATGATTTTAAAATTTTTATGCAAAAAATTCACTTGTAATTTTGTTCTTAACGAAGATAAAACTATGTAATTTTTATTGGATATAAAATTATAATTATTAACTATAGCATCATTTCATGAAAATAATGGATGTTTTCATTTTTCGCATTTCAGATACAATACGTTTCATAAGAAAGAAATATAGGTGAAAGAAATTGGGAATGATAAAAATCGTATATTGGACTTACAAAAATGCCATAGACGTGTTGATTGTGTTCGGGTCCCTCAGAAAGAACCGGTACCACCCATGAAATACTGGAAACGCCCAGAAACGCCCATTGACTTTTGACTTATGACCCAACCCGGAAGAACTTCAATTGTTGAAGCGTCACATGTGAAAAAAGAGTGTTGGTGATATTGTGAGTTGTTGTGGACTTGATTTGTTTTTTTGTCGCCTTGATAGCATACTTGATAAAAAAAAATATTGATAATATTACACGGTGGTTGAATGGAATAACTTAAGATAAGCGTAAACTCAAAACAGTCGACAGGAGATCTCTTGTTTGTCGATCGATGAGTCACGACGTGTGATACTCGGTGTACTCGAACGCTGATCAATATCCCGCTTGACAATGCCTGTTCGTAATTGGTGGGTAGCTGCCGGGATGGTGACTTTAATTAGTGCCGCACTGTTACCTGTAGTAGTGCAGCCTTGGTTGAATCCAAAGACTTGGCGTAAGTTCATTGCAGAAAGTTGTTGGGCAGTTCATTATTTATTCATTAGAATTCATTAAATATTTATAATAGTTTTACATGTAAGTTTATCGCTTTAAAAAACCCAGACTGTAGATGAACATAAAGTTAAAAGTTTGTTCATCAGTTATATAAATATATAATAATGGCAGGGCAAATATTTACTGGGATGAAAAACCCAAAGTGTTGTTACAATAGTGCATATCCACCATGCAATCAATATATACCTTTAATGACTTGATGACATCATTCAGTTCCGGTGATCTCACAGTGATGTCATCTGATTCTTCCGACTCACTCGCAAAACATTTTTCACATACCCGGTATATTAAATGAGCCAGATGCATTATGGGAGTACCACCGTGAATATCAGTACCAATATATACATTTACCTCCAATTCATATTGGCCATCACTAAATTAAAATCCCAATCTTTTTAAAGATAACTATCAAAACTATTGGCCTTCAGTACCTTTATATTGAGGATGGTCAACACAATGAGACTGATGAGACTGTTAGTTAATCCTGCTAGAGGAATAGTACAGCCACTTAAATTTCTACCACCTTTCTGATTTATAATAACACCAATTCTCGAAATCTGGATCCCATTATGAAGTAGACGACACAGTGTGTTTTTTTAATTGGCATGTACACTTACATTATCAGCAACATAATCAGTGCCTGTGAAAACTATTGGATTAATGTATAATTTGTTTATTATTAACAGAAGATGTACAAAAAGAATCCAGAAAGGGAATAAAACAAGAAGAGATTCAACCTGGAGGTGAGTATTGTCATAAATGAATGGCTTATGGTTTATAAAAAACCAAGTTATACCCCAGACGAAATGACATGTACATGTATGAATAGACATCATCAACTGGTGAATGGAATTTACGTGTTAAGTTATTCAGAAGAGCTCAGTTAAAATTGTGGTCATTCTTAAAATAAGTTTGATTTATTTTTCCATTTCAGGTATGCGAGTGTGGTCAGATCCATTTGAACCACGGAAGTAACAGGTCAAAGTTCATCTATGATTGTGATGCTGACACATGTATCAAGAATTTCTAAACTCTTGTTGCATAGAACTTGGTTGTACATTTGTCATGTAAACAATGCATGCATGCTGGGTTCTTATTAAAACTTAAGATCTAAACTTTCTATTTTTTATTTTATTTAAAGGGCGGTTGTCGTCGCGCTGCACATGTGCGACATTTGTGTTGATAAACATTGATTTTCCCACAATCCAATGCGCTCTTCTAATTGAAATCACAAGTATGATGTTTGACCTGGGTGTGACTTGGTACTAATTATCGCCGTTGACTCTTTCGATACCTTCCAATCACCTGAAAATACCTAATTGAAGCTTGGTAACGTTTCTGTTTGTACTCGTTGATCTATGCAACAGTCAAAGTCGCCATCTTTGTTTATACATGTATAAGACCCATATATCTCGTGCATGCGTGGCGCGACAACTACCGCCCTTTAAATTTACTAAGAACAATTCCAACTTGGCTAAATCACGAAATGTTTACATTCTACATAATTCAAATTTACTGGTTTTTATGTAAAAGTGTGTTGTTTACAATCTCCATATGAATACAAATGAGTCCAGTATGGTATTACACACTGTTAGTTATGTCACCCATAGTTTCATCTAACACCACCTTGAAAGAATTCCCGCTGTAAACCAGTATTCACTGTTGACAAAATCAAACACAACGCACCCATGTTCTGATGTGTTTTCTGATATTGTGATGCATTTTCATGGAAAATCGAATCCAAAGTCACATGTTTTTATCAGTAAAACTATGACAAGATATAAGATGACAAAATCAATTGGTTTAAATTTAAAATTGATGTGAGTTGTTGTAACACAGACACTGATTGGTGGATCAAGCCCATTGGCATGCACCATCAGTCAGTGTTTTCTTGAGACATCCATGGATTGTCAGTCAGAGAAAGGATGTGAATTCTTTATTAATTTTCTTATTTGTTTTCAACATGACTTGTATCAATTCAAATTGTACAAAAGATCATTTTGAATTTATCGTTTTATTTCTATGTGCAGATTGTAAACTGACTACACTTAGCAGTTAACTAAGTCTTAATGTTTGAAATTTGAGAAGCAGTGTGAGTTCTTCCACTACTACACCCTCTTCAAACGTGGTGAAGTACAGCCTATAACCACTGTTCTTTTGTTTATGTGTTTGGTTGGAGATGCAGTACAAATAAATGTATTCAAATAATGCTCTAGATATCACATGATAGTTATTGAATTATTAATGAGAGGAAATACTATACAACAGACCCAATACTACAGCTCTCATGACCGACAATTCATTTTCGCATATCATTAAACTTTAATAATGCAAGAGAAACAAATGATTGCACAACAGTTATCTGCATTGTGTATTTCATTTTTTTTATCACTTGAGTTACAGCATGTAAATTTAGGTTTTGTATCAGATGTTAAGTTTTTCGCTTTGTTAATAAATCCCAATTTCCTATCCCTATATGGTTATTAAATTTGAATGAAGCATGGAAATTGTTGTCATAGTGACTGAAATTGGTTAAAGAGGCAATGTGGATAATTATTTTTTGATCATATTCAAATAAATTTGGTTTAATGTTGCTTCCTTATAAAAATGATCAAGGGTGATTTACCGTGAAATAAAATTTTTTTGCAACAAATGTAGTACTGGGAGTAACATAAATTAATTAAAAAATGTTTGCGTGCTTGCTGTGTTTAAGATGATTTGAGTTGAAATAAAGATATCTCATGTCTGCCATACTACCATTATAATGGGTTTATGCTACAAGAATGCCCAAAGTAAAAAAAAAATATCACTTAACAATTTTTACGTTTTCTATGGCAAGAATATTTCAAAAATTTACCAGGTAACATGGGATGAGTCGTACATAGTGACATATAATTTATTCAGTTTCAACTGAGGATAATATTTTCAATATGTTCAGTAGTGCAAAATTTCAATTCATGTGCTACCACATTTATTTATTTCAGCTCCTGAGTCCCAAGTTCGAAACATAACAAGTATAACAGTGAATTATGCTCTATTTAACCATGGCTTGCATTAATTAGTCCCCGTTCGGACGCAGTCCGAAAACAGGGACTTATGTTTTGCCCTGTGTGCGTCCGTCCGTCCGTGCGTCCGTCCGTCCGTGA